CGCCGTGTTAAGCAGAGATTCACACGACTGCCCAACACGGTTGCAACTTCATCGTGTGAAGCCGCTCGCCAACCACCCACCTATGACCACGTCACCCGAATGGTTCGTCGGGAGCTTGAAGCTGCCTGTTCAGCTCCCATTCAACAGCCTGTTTGTACAACTCAAGCCACTGACCCGTCACATTCGTCGGTAGCCTTAGTTCAAGCTGTGGATAGGCAGGAGTTCGCTAATCTCGGTCTTCCATCAGCGTGTCCTATGACTCATCCTGAAGTACGCCCATACCCCTCAGGTAACGCTCACCGATCTCCTCCATCATTGCCCTTCCGGAACCCTACGCAATGGCGAACCCCTGACGACCAGCCAATCTGCTTTTCCTGTCATCAACCTGGACATATTTCTCGTTATTGCCGTCACTGCTGGTCCAACCCACCACGTCAGAGGTAGCCTACTTATATGCGGCCTACCAATTCTGGAAGTCCAGCCGCTACACCATCCAACTTTTACTCGCCGCCTCCTCACGAGCCTCTCCCCACTGACGCCCCTTCTTTTCGGTTGCCGCTACTCCCACTCCCCGTCGCCGCTACGCCGCTAGTCCCGCTCCACGACACCACCAATACTTGCACATTGTGGTAGGGTTGACAGGCGGGCTAGTTGGTACAAATTCATTATGGAATAATTGGAAGCGCAAACCAACGGGACACAAGAAGAGTGACAAACAAGCGCAGACTGAGACAAACAAGCGCAGACTGAGGTCTGCGCTTGTTTGTCTCTCCTCTTGTATCCCGTCGGTTTGCGCTTCCAATTATTCCATCATGAACTTGTACATTGTAACCCAAATGCTCCTACAGAAGTGCGGACAGACGCTAGCGGTCACGAAATCGGCGCAGTTTTGGCCCAAACTCAGCGGGGCCCTGATCGTGTAATTGCATACGCAAGTCGTCTCCTTTCAAAGTTGGAGTGTAACTACTCTATAACAGAACGAGAATGCCTTGCCCGTGTCTGGGCAGTTTCGAAATTTCACCCCTACTTGTATGGCCGCCCGTTCCTTGTCGTCACAGATCATCACGCCCTCTTTCTTCATTGAAGGACTCTTCTGGACGACTTGGTCGTTGGGCGTTGCGTCTTCAGGAGTACTCCTACTCAGTTGCCTACAAGTCTGGACGCCTCCATCTGGATGCCGACTGCTTGTCCCATTACCCTGTTGACCAACCAGACGAATCGGTCGGCGAGCTTGGCCCCAGCGTCATGTTTGTGTCTAAATTTCGTCAGATTGGTGACGAACAGCGTCGCGATTCTTCCTTGTGGTCACTTATTGCCCGCCTGGAATCTGACCCTAACGACGTGTCACTCCGCCTGTTCGTTCTCCTAAATGGCATGCTGTACTGTCGTAGCATCCAGCCAGATGGCCCTGAGCTACTTCTAGTCGGGTCTAACCATCTCCGTTCAGCGATCCTGCATGAGCTTCACGAAGAACCAACTGCCGGCCACTTGGGTGTATCTCGCACGTATGACCGCGTCCGGAGCCGCTTCTTTTGGCGTGGTCTCGCGCGGTCGGTTCGACGCTACATGGCCTCCTGTGATAAATGCCAACCTCGAGAACGACCTGCCACACACACTGCTGGACTCCTTCACCCGATCTCCATCCCTACCGAACCTTTCTTCCGTGTTGGTGTAGACCTCGTCGAACCGTTCCCTGAATCAAACTCTGGGAACAAGTGGGTCGCTGTTGCTATAGACCATGCGACCAGGTTTGCCATCACCAGAGCGCTCCCCACCAGCATTGCTACTGACGTTGCCGACTTTTTGCTCCACGATGTAATTCTACATCACGGCGCTCCTCGGCAATTGCTCACTGATTGTGGACGCGCATTTTTGTCACGTGTACTCGACGACCTTGTGCGCTCTTCCTCAACGCAACACAAACTGACCACTTCCTGCCATCCTCAAACAAATGGCCTTACCGAGCACCTGAATTGTTCTTTCACGAACATGCTCTCAATGTATGTCTCATCTGACCACCATGACTGGGATCTAGCGCTACCTCACGTGACGCTCGCCTATAATTCATCTCGTCATGATACAGCAGGTTATTCACCTTTTTACATGCTCTATGGCCGTAATCCGACCTTACCACTGGACACCCTACTACCGACTACTACACCTCCTCCGAGCGAATATGCACGTGATGCTATCGCTCATGCCGACCACGCACGCCAGATTGCCCGCTCTAGGCTGTTGGCTTCACAAGCAACCCAGAAGGCTCTCTAGGACAGCAAGCATGTCGACGTTGACTTCTCACCTGGTTCTCTGGTTCTTCTCTGTCTTCTCTGGTACCCAGTTCGTCGTTTTGGATTGTCAGAGAAGTTGCTATCCCCGTACAAGGGACCTTACTGTATCATACGACGGATAACGGACGTTACCTATGAGGTGATTCCAGTCTCCGGGACTAACCTGTCTGCAAACAACCCCAGTGACGTAGTATATGTGAGTAGGTTCAAACCATACCACCCGCCTTTTGAAGAACTCGTATAAGGTGCACCGAGTCGGCGCTTTGACAACCGGGGTGTAATGCTACATAGCTATCGCATGAAGGGTGAACCATTCTGTGATCAGAAAACGACGAAGAGGATTGGTTTGCTCGCTCTGTGTGCTGCGCTCCGATTTTATCGGTGTAAATACACTGCCAAATAGTCACATCCTGTCCCATTTTACGTAACAATAGAATTGGTATCGCAATAATAATGCAGCTCTCTACTGTAAAATAAGTGTTTTGGGATAGCTCTGCCTTCAGTCCCCCTTTTGTTTAATTTGCACGTTATTTTCATTATGTTTGATAATAGTTGATGCGGTTACTAAATGTTTTAGAAATGCTAGAATGTATCGGCAAGGACAACGCGGAGAATGACCTTGTTTGCAAGTGTTCCAATCAGATGTAGTCCACTGCAGCAACAAAGGTCGAGAAATGCTAGAATGTATCGGCAAGGACAATGCGGAGAATGGCCGTGTTTGTAAGTGTGCCAATCAGATGTGGTCCACTGCAGCAACAAAGGTCGAGACATTCAGAATGGCCGAATAAAAATGAAGTGGAACGTGTCAGTTATTTTGAAATATATTTAATGAAATACACGAGGCAGGTAGCCTTTTGGTGGGTTATCCAAAAGAATTATTCACCATTTCATCCATTAATTGGTCGTATAGGCCCGATGGATGTAAGTGTCGCACCCTACCAAGATTCTGAAAGAAAAAAGGTGAAGGGGGGATCTGATGTGAATAAATGCAGTAAAATTTTCTATACAGTGTTGCACAGGTCGGCCGCTTTGTCTGCCTCGTTCTCTTTAAAGGGACCCTGCAACACTTTCTGAGCATGGTCAAAAAACGCTGCCGATTGGTAGTAAAATTTTCTATACAGTGTTGCACAGGTCGGCCGCTTTGTCTGCGTCGTTCTCTTTAAAGGGACCCTGCAACACTTCCTGAGCATGGTCAAAAAACACTGCCGGTTGGTAGTATAGGCTCCCAACAACATGCGAGCCAAATAATACAGCGCAGCACGCGGCCTGGAATTCACAATAAATTATCAAAGTTAGCTAAAAATTGCTTTCTCTTCTTTCGACAAATCACGGGATATATCCAAAAATCACACGTAGCAAGCCCATCTATCAGCCATTGGCTGATTTAAACATGGCGCACTCGCTCCTTACAGAGATCGCCGCGGGAGGTTGCTACTTGTCCAAATGTGCACGCACGATCACACTGGAAAAGCCCTGCATTTGAAGAAATAAAAAGAAAAAAATTCGGCACATCCCACATACCTGGGAATTGGCATTATGCGAAGTAAGCGGAGGGAAAGTGACCGTGTTACAATTTTTCTGTTGAGCGACACACCACGAAATGACACTAAATATATGTACAAATGTTGCACGCACAGACATATGTTGAAGAGTTGCAGATGTTTATATAACCATTCGTTTGTACTTGCGCAAGGATGCCAACTCGAACATGCATATTAGCAACACCAGAAGCTGATATGAAGCAGTGATGCTCACGAGCAATCTGGACACTGCTACATAAATCAACTTCAGCGCATGGCAACTAACCACAGTTGGCGTTAACCCGACGTGACGGCTGTATCAAAGGAGTACATATTGTTTATAATGTATATAAAATTGCGTAGGCAGCACTGAAACCACAATTGACGTTTCACGAAAATTAGCGTCTATTTGGAAAGTAATTCTGAGATCTGGCGTAGCTCTGCGGTAAAATACTTCATTGCCAATAGAATGCTTGGGCTCGATTCCAGTGGGGACCCTGACATTTATTCTTTGCATTAGTCGGGTCAACGCTACCGACGTCAGGTATTTCTTAACGCGGGCGTTCAAATCGCCCATGTGTGTTCTCATCGTTCCTGGGTAGATACTAAGTGTCAATCACCTGTGGCACATACCCGTATACGAGTGGCACATACCCGCCCGTGGGTATGTGCCATTGTTTGACGGGAAGTGTTTGACGATGTATGCGATGAGATTTTGACATTATTCATGTCTTGACCAGCGCATCATATTCGTCAAACCAGCTTACCATCCCACGCTAATTTTAGTTCACGCCAAGTTGACGGGGTGACCATGAGAGCACCGAAATGTAAGCGGCTAGATAGATAGATACGCTCAAAGTCGCCGAAGTTCTCTAAAAAATGCTTCGCATTTCAAAAGTGCTCAAGGTCATGAGGCGCATGTGACGTTTCTCTGTGGCCCTGCCATCCCTCCTTGCTTAGCTTCCAGCACTTTTATCGGTACAAGTGAAGAGAGAATGTGTTGGCTGCATGCGACAATTCTTTGTAACTTCGCTCACACAAGATGGATTCTTAAAATTTTTGTGGCGTTGAATTCATGAGACAATAAGCTCTTCCAGCGAATTCATTCCACGGTTACTTGAAAAAGTGTTTCAGGGCCCCTTTAACTTGCTACAAATTCTTATTCATGCGAAATTTTCTGCTGTTTTTTCAGCTGACGACCTTCCAGGCACAGAAGAGGAAGACAAGGGCATTGACCTCGCTTGCTGCGCCGATACCCGCATGCCTGAAGAAGCTGAGCAACGTATGCACTCGACAAATATTTTTATAATCCTTCACCTTATGTTGATAAGTATAGTGGTGTCGACCGTTCATTCGGGCATGCTTGTGGTCGGGTCTCGCGGAGAGCCACTCTTGAAACAAAAGGACACAGTTGAAGCTGCAATGCTAGGAACTCGAGGACCTATCTTAAAATTACATTTTAATTAGGCTTGTGGGAATATTCTAATGCTTCAAATATTCAAACAAGTATTATGTATTCGAATTAGTTTCGATTCATATTTAAATTGTTGAAAATTTTCAGCTCCACTCAAACCTCATTATAACGAAGTTGAAGGGGAGCCACAAATATTTTGTTATATCGATTATTTCGTTATCCCGACTATAACAGTTTGTGGCAATGTATGCTCAGATGGGTGCACGCCTATAAGCATGCAAAGAAGGAAACCGCCTCACGGCCCGATGTACTGCTACTAGACCACACGTGCGACGGAAAATAAACATAGTCGAATCTCATTAATCCGAATTGGCTTAATTCAAACTTCCCGTTAATTTGAACTCAAGCTGAGGTCCCGTCAAAGCTATGTGTATTCCAGTGGGCGAAAACGCCTTGTAATTCGAACGCGCAAGCACTTGTGGCGGTTAATTCGAACATACCGCGTTCCGAAAATGCTCTCAGCACCATGCCCAATCCCATAGCGGCACCTCTCAAGGCTGCGCACGAAGGAGGAAAAGAAGAAAAAGGAAGAAAAGACTGTAGCGGATTGTTTGCTCTCTCTCAAATGCCGGTCTGGGACACGCCTGTGCCACGCTTCTCCCCTTTCCGTCTCCGCACGTAGAGACCCTTCTCCTTTCAAGCCGCACGTGGAGAGAGAGAGAGAGAGAACAAAAAGAAAGCTGTCGTGGAGAGTCCTCCTTAACCAGTGCAGAGGGTAGTAGCGAAGACGCAGTTGTTGCCGTCGCCTTCAGAGGGAAATCGCTTTGCACCGCAGCGCCGCTTCTCAGTCATGTGACCCGCTGAGCGCTTCCTCAATCCTCTCCGTAGGCTGTGTGAGAAGGACGACTCTCTCGGCCGCGCGTGGCGTAGCTGTGAGGTCGGCGCGGGAGTTTTGAAAGAGCCGCGCCGAACGAGCGTCAAGCTCCGCAGAAAACGATACACTTAACACACTACAGTTGGTTTTTTTTTTAGACTATTTGATAGACTAATTTAGTTCGTTATACCCATTTACCAGTCGATTTTACTTCATTACATTAAGGCTCAAAATGCATGGTTATCAATGGAGTATTTCAAGGGGAATTTCATTTACTTCATTATATCCCATTATGTTATGACTGAGGTTTGAGTGTATTCGAAATGAACGAATAGGTGCTGCCAAGTGCCACTTCAAGGTTAAAGGAACATAATACTCTCACATCGATTCATCAAAATTTTGGTATACCAGCTTTTATGCTGCAAATATAGTAAACAATAAAACGTTATGTATCTCGCAGGTTATCACTTGCATCCTACCAAAGGCCAAATACTACTACTGCTCAAAGTTGTTACCACTTTATTTGAACTAAATAGAATGGCTTTTGCACAGGTCCTGCTGGAATTTTTAAACTATATTGTGCAGGTTAGTTGGGTCATGAATATTCTGAAGGTTAGTTGGGTCATTAATATACCAATTTTTCTTTATAATATGTGATAAATACTATTTGAATTCAATTCGAAATTTTTTTACCAAAATCACTACAGTCAAGCCCACGTATAGCGACCTCACTTAAGACAAACTTTCACTTGAAATGAACAATATCTGCGTGACCGTGAAAATATACATTGTTTCAATGACACAAAATCGCACTTACAACGAACGTCTCCGAGCGCCGCCGTTCGGTTACAAAGAATGGAGTTGGCGCTCTGCCGACTTCCAGGGAAACCACTTTCGACCACCGATCAGGCATCGGGGAGGTGCCCATAGATTCTTATTGTTAAACGCCGACCCTGCCTCCATGCCCCTCTAGTTGCCGCTCTTCTCGACCGCTTTTTGTTATGTACCCCTCCGTCCTTTGTCTCCCCGCTACTCTGATCACCCCGCATTGCCAGACGTGGCCCGTGTTTTCACACTGCCAACGATCTTTCGAAGACCGGTCGACCATCTCCCCTATTTTTAATCGCTGGTACTGTCGTTGGCGTCGCCGGCCTGGAGTGACCTGACCATTTGCCAACTTCATCTGTATCCGATCGTCTGCATCTTGCTTATCATATCGTTCTAGTGCACGCACTACACTACCCGATTCCTTCTGAAATGCACGATTCGTTTCGTATTTACCACCATTTTTTGCTCACTTTGCACTCGGCTCAGCATGCCCTCCGCATGTGCATGGAAGCGTAACAGCCGCAGTTTATTTGCGTGGAAAGAATCGCGAAATATCGAAGTCGGTGAGGTTACGCAAACTCGCCGGCGCAACAAAACGATTACTTGACTACGGCCGCTGATTCTTTAAGCATTGCCGTGCGCGCCGATCCAGGTGGCCGTGCTTGGATCATTGTGCGCGTAGGCCCATGTCAAGTTTTTCTACACGTGAGTTGCGCGTTTCGGGGACCTTTTAAGCAAGCTACCTGACCTGTCTCCTTCTCGCGTGTTTTGGTTTTCAAGGTCGCTTTCCCGCCGTATCCTCCCCTCTCTTCACTCTATTGCAATTCCTTGCCCTTCTCTCGCAAATCTGCTCTGCTCTCTTGACCACAACTCCTTCGGCTGTCTCCACAGCTCCGCGATGCCAGTCACGCTGGCTCAAATTAGTTTCATTTTCTGACTAGAAACGGGCCTAGAGCTGTTTTACGCGTTCTGGCATGTGTGTCGCGTGTGCGCAACTTGCTCACTCTTGGTGTGCGTGTGTGGTCAGGATGGCAGACTGGAGGACTTGCACGCTTTTTCCTGTCGTTCCACAAAACGTTGAAAGCGTGACCGGTTGGCTTGGGCCTGATTCGCGGAGTTATGAGCGCTTGTTCAGCTGATATGCTCTATGAGCGTTTGGTCATATGAACGCTTGCTCATAGCTGTTGACCACCTAGCAGCCAACTTGCCGCTTCGGGCATCCTGGTATTCAGCTGTGGAGATGGTGAATATTTCGTGGACGGCGGTGACGGTTACATGCGTGCGGAACCATTTTCACGCGGCCGACTTCGTCGACGTCGGGCCCGATGCCGAGCCTGCTGCTTCTGAACAGGAGCACTGCAGCAGCGATTTGTGGCAGCGCGTCGTCGACTCCGACCTGAAAGAGTGGGTGGGACATCTGTTGCGATTGTTTCGTTACGTCCAATGATGATGCCGACACCACGGAAACGTGCACGGATTAGGGCATTGTGAATGAGGTATGCGGCGAGAGCGTTTTTGGAGGAATCGGATTGCGAGAACGACAAAACTTTGGAGCCAGTGCCTCATGCAGCTTATGACACTGGCCTCGGCGAAGAGCACGCTGCCGTTTGAAATAAACTCGAGACCGCCTTTATCGCTTCTGCTCTTCGAAACATGTGCATCACAGACATTTTTGGGCCAAAAATTTGTGTTTTCACTTGCAACTTCTTTAAAAGCTGGGTTTCATTTAGTACGAACTTCAAGATAATGCGAACGGATGCCGCGTCAGGCGCAGGTTTGTTCTAAGTGGGCTCGACTGTACAGTGAAACCTCGTTAAACCGTAGTTGGCCGGAGCTCGGAAAAAGTACGTACTAGAGCTAGAGGATTTGGCCATTCGTCGGAAATATGCACGCCTATCACTTTTCCACAAACTTTACAATCACCCATCATTACATGACAGTTTCTTTGAACCCGCCTGTTCCATCTTTCCCCGCCGTGATCATCCTAACAAAGTCAAACGCCCGCTATCTCGCACACTTCGTTTCGCTCAGTCATTCATCCCGCGCACTATTATTGAGTGGAACAGTTTGCCTGCACATATCGCCATCGAGAAAGACTCGGTAAAGTTTTCAGAGCTCATGCGCACTACGGTGACTAACTAAATATTTTTTTTGCTTTTGTTGTTTTGTTTTCTTTCGTTTTTTAACTATTGTATAACGCCATGCAATTGCTGCCCGTATTCATGGTTTGCGCTTTGTTGCGGTTGTCAGGTTGCACTGTATCTTGCTGTAAACCATGTTGTATTGGCCCCCCCCCCTTATGTAATACCCTCTTCTAGAGGGCCTTTAGGGGTAACCTGAATAAATAAATAAATGGTAGTACTGCTTAACCGAAATAGCGTCAGGTCGCTCGCTTACCTGTCAAAAAAAGAAACCTTCAGGGAGTGCGATGAAAGAACAAAAAACGTGCAGTAATTTATTAACTTCGCGTGACAAAATCTGTATTCTTCATTTGACGATGGGGCGGCCTAGCAGCAACGACAGCGGCCTCAAACTCACTTATTCTGTGAGCCAGCTTTTTTGCCAGCCCCCACTTCTCGGCAAATACCCGCATGATGCTGACGCAATGCGCAGCTTCGGTCACTGTCGGACCTGGATCACCCGTGTTGTCGCTTTCCATGTCGTCCTCATCACTATCATTTTTGCGACACTTCGACAACCGAGGCAACAATGGCTTCGTCGGACATGTCCGGAGATGTCTGCACATCGCTGTCTGCGTCTCTGAAGTCGGGGAAGGAAATGCCTTCTGTAACGGCCTGGCGCTCCAGCACTTCAGCTAGCAGAGTTCTGCAAGCTTCATCTACGATCTCCAATGTCTGGTCTATGGTATCACTGGCGCCATCTGCCTCGCCCGCACACACACTGAAGCCAGCACGCTTGAAGCAATTTTGAACTGTCGTTGCTTCAACCTGCCGTCACGAGTATTCGAGCAGGTGAATTGCGCCAATCAGGTCGATGGAGAATAATTTGCCTCATTCAATCGCGAGAAGAAATCTGCGCAGCAGATTCTTCTTGTAGAGCTGTTTTACAGCTCGAATGATGCCTTGGTCGAAGGGCTGGGCAATCGCTGTTGTGTTTGGTGGCAGAAACGCCATTTTCACAGCCGTCAGGTTGTCCAGGGCAACGTGCGCCGAAGCGTTGTCTAAAATAATAACAACTCTTTTGTTCTTAGCCGGAAAACGACGATCGATGAGGTGCACATACTCTTCAAAGAGTTTTGCCGTCATCCATGCTTTGGTGTTGCTGCGATAGATGACCCCTGATGGCAACCGGGCACCTTTAAAACATCTAGGCTTCGCCGACTTTCCAATCACGAGGAGCGGAGTATTGTCGGTTCCAGTCATGTTTATGCAAAACGCCACTGATATTCTGTCTTTTGCATGCTTGCCGCCGGTGCACGTCTCGCCTTTGAACGCAAGCGTTTTCTCTGGTAGCAGCTTAAAAAATAGCTCTGAATCATCCATATTAAAGATGTCATCAGGTGCGTAGTCTTCCAAGATGTTCTTCAGCTCACCATTTTGCCACTGCTCCGCGTCATCCACGTCAGCAGCAGCACTTTCTCCCAAAACAGTCCTCGTGGTAATGCCGTGCCTGGCCTTAAATCTGGCCAGCCAGCCATTGCTGCACACGAAGTTGTCATGGTTGAGCTGCGAGGAAAAAATCAGGGCCTTCTCCACGAGCAGGGGTCCGCTGATAGACAGATTTTTTGACCGTGCAGCTTTTAGCCACTTCCACCAGCGCCTCCGCTACATCCGAAAACGCCGAACCGCGTAGCTGGCACCTTTTCGCAGTTGCAGCGGCACTGCCGAGCAACTTCTCTCTGGAATTCCAAATTCCACACACCGTGGTTAACGGCAGGTCCTTTTTGCGTGCCAGCGCCGATTTGTTCGTGCCACTTTCAATAGCACGAATTATGTCCAATTTCTCCTCTATTGTCAGCACTCGATGCTTTTGTCCCAGTTTTGGCATGACGCAAGTACGAAGCAGCACAAGCACACATACACAACACGTGAAAAACGACCTGAGAGCTGTACGGCACGGATCAACTAGAGAACACCTTTGCACGGCGCCAAAGGAACAAACAAAGCAAAGCAAGCGCACACCGTGTTTGCGTGTTTGTGCAAAGTGCCATCGCGTGGACAACATTAGAAGCCTAGCTGCCCGAGTGGTTCTTGTTGCTGAAAAATCTAAGAAATGGCGCTCACCAACACAGCCGCCATCATCATCAACACAAACAAACGAGGCGTGTTTCGATCTCTGGGGCTTCCTGTTCTGTCGGGACGCCCAGTGGGAATGCCGCGGCCAGTGCGCAACGAAAATTGGAAAAACTACTTATTAACCGATACATACGCGATAAACTGGTACGGCTTATGCGGATACAAAATGCATTATGTTGAATGGCCGCCAAGTCGGGGATTTGACTTCACTACTGTTAAAACGAAACTACTGTTTACGCGGGTACGGTTTAACGAGTTTCACTGTATTCGCTTCGAACCTAAAATTTACTATTTTGCAAGCCTACTAATAAGGCAATTGAATGCCTTATTATAAAGAAAAATTACACCATCTCGCGCTAAAGCGAACCATGTGCAGGTGCGAAGCAGCAAGCGCAATACTCAGGGACAACTTTCCATATCGATGAAGGGAACACTACAGAATCAGAATGGGCGTGTGCTATATCGCTGAAGAATATAGGTCCCACAAATGCGTGTATGTTTTCTGCGATTTTCTACAGGAGGCTATTATAAAGAGATGCTGGAAGAACCAAGGGGGTAAAATTATTTGTTTTGCTTTATGAAGCGTAATTTCGCATTTTACACGTCAGAAAACGTTGCACGTTTTAGGTACACCTCGTAGTCAAAATGGCGTCTTCGCCCTTAGGTGATCGCATGTCGCCCTCCAGTTATTTGGACGACTCGCCGTAGGAGCTTGTGTGAAATTACACTTACAAAATGGCTGTGTAAGCAAATGTAGCAAGTTCTATGCTGTGGTATAATTCGAAGACGGCATAATTTGAAAAGGGAATCTAGCAGGACCACTTCGTGAAGGAGTGCATGTGTAGTAGCTCTGCCCCCATTGCTTTTCTTTCGTTGCCACAGAAAGTTGTCGCTGAGTATAACGCTTTCGGTGGAGGTGGCACTCATCACAGTGTTGCGCAGGAGAGAAACATGGGCGAGTGCAAAGCATGCATTGATAGACCGGTGTTTTCTAATGGAACATGCCAATTGCTGCTAATGGGCACTGAAAGACAGGAGACTCCTATTGAACACAGAGATCCGCATTTTACTTTTAGTCAATGCGTAGACGAGTGGAAAGCATGCAGTGATAGACCGGTGTTTTCTATTGGAACATGCCAATCACTGCTAATGGGCACTGAAAGACAGGAGACTCCTATTGAACACAGAGACCCGCATTTTACTTTTAGTCAACGCGTACACTGTGAATTTTTATTGTCTGACAACGCGCCGGAGAAATATCCTTCCGGCACTACCTTTGAGGTCAAGATTCAGTGCCTTTATATACGGTGTAGCCAGTGAACAATTCTGCAGCGCGAGCAGTTGGTTTATTCAATCAAGAAACTCGCTAGCTGACGCTGCCTGCATTGGCGTTGTGAGAGAGGAGGGAGTGTAGGCAAGGAGAGAAAGGGGGAGGGGACGTGCACATGCAGTAAGGGGGGTTACGCTACAGGCACACTAGATTGAACTCGACCATAAGATGCTTCACATATAAAACACAACCTCCTCATACGCAGAGTTGGTGTCGTTCAACGTCACATGAGAGTGAGCTGTGGAATATTCCCCGCGTGAAAGACGGTTGTCCACAAATGCTACCAAACCCCAAAAAAAGCATCGGCTCCTCTCTTCATGGCCCCACGTAACCTTGCTCTCACCAGGCAGTGTGTCTGACACTACAATGGGAGCAGAGCGAGACCTCTCGCTCGACGACAGTAGCTAACTACCATGCGGGGCACCATTAGGTGAAAACAACTTAGCAGGGGGTGATAGCACCTCCACATCGTGTATTCGGTTACTTTTGTGGCACTGCCGTTTGTCTCATAGAAACTATGTAAACCCACAACCAAAACTTTGGATGCCCCAGAGTGCATCATTTGATTTTTCGGACTTTGATTGGCTGATGGGATGCGATGTCGAATGACAAGAAATGTTCTCAGAAATATTTATACTGTATTACTGCATAATTGTCACTAGTGAGAGGTTGCACTGGTTGTGGCTAAAGGTTGTGCCAGTGCCAAAATTCTCGCAGAAATTGCTGTTGCCAATCTCGAAGGCTATGTTATTTGGGTACATCTCATGGTAGCCTGTTGGCTTTAGCCAGTCAAGTATCCATTGAATGTCTAACAAGGACAAAGTTCCCTTATTTGCAAGGTAAACGCTTATATGTTGTACTTGTGCAGTACATCTTAGAATAAAGATAAAATGCTCATTTGCATTTTGATTTCCATAGTACCAAAAAGTGCAATTTAGACGCTATTGTGAAAGCACGCTCTCAACAGGTTATCCCCCTTCTTTCTTTCTCTGTTTCAGTTGTACTCTGTTCTTAATCTGTGAAAAAAAATTTTATACTATATGCTAAATATTATGTGATCCCTCTTGCATCTATAATGCAAATTGATGCAGCGATAACAGAATATTTGTTTGAGAATAAAAACATCTTCAGACATTGTCACTTGCTCATGCAGCCTCTACCCATTACTGTGGCTGCAATTTTCCTCTTGTTTAGTTCCCTTTAATATTACTGCGGATTTCTTGCCCAAAAGAGAACATGAAACGTGCCTTGCCCTACACGTGCAAGCCGACACCTTTAATATTACTGCGGATTTCTTGACCAAAAGAGAACATGAAACGTGCCTTGCTCTACACGTGCAAACCGACAAAAGTTGCACTGCATTTTAGTGTCCGTATTCAAAGGGCCTCTGATTAAGTGGTTGTTCGAATCTTCTAATTTCATCTTTGCAACTGAAAGTAGAGGGGCTAAGCTGGGGTTGGAGGAAAGCTAAATTTTTGCAGCACACTTTATCGAAAGCTTTGATTCAGAAATACCTTCTTGGCGGTTTAGTGGCCATGTAATCGCACCTCTGCGCATAAAATTCTGGCCTCAATTTGCAGCTGCAGTGGCCACGGGTCAAAATTGAGAAATGCCTGCCCATTTTTTTTTTACTTGGGAGCATGTTTAAGAACCCTGGCCGATCAAAATTAATATGAGGTTTCCTAACACGATGTTGTAGCTCAAGAGTGGCGTAGTCGTGGGGTAGCACTTTGGGCATGGTCTTTTGTGTGTGTGACCCCCAGTATACGTCGGCAAACTCCCTCATAAGTTCACTCATTCAGACTCAGATCAGATCGTGAGTACGAGTCTAACTGAATCTCCGGACAAATAATATTTTTTTTAGTATGGGCCCGGGTTATATGATGTGCTGAAGTGTTGTTTGCGGGGGATGCTATCTCTCCCTGTAAGGTTGTTATAATTTCGTGGTGCACGCATATCGGGGGGTGGTCGTAGTTAGCTTAAATGTTGCCGAGGAAAAGGCGGTGCTGTCACGATAACGTCAGCAGTGCCACTTTTTTGGGGGGCACTTGTGGAAGCGCTCGTTCTCATCTTGTGGTTGGCGTGGCCATCAATGGTCGGCTTCGTGGATGGGTTTGATGCCGCGACTCATTCCTACAGACCCATGTGGTGATCTGGATGTTCGTGACACCGCATTCGTTGTACATCGTATGTGTTGTCATATTTGTACGTTATGTTTTCTGTGTTATATTGGCATTGTACTTGATTATGTTGTTGCTAGTTATAACAACAGGACAGATAGCCAGGTAGGTTAGTCGGTGTCGCATTATGATGCAAAAACTTTGAGTGCAAATGAGTGAAGCAGGACGAAGCAAGTGCTCATGGAGTGCGTTTACCTTCTCCGTCCTGCGTCGTTTAGTTGCGGTCAAAGTGTTACATCATGATGTTTTCTTACAAGATTTGCCTGGTGAGCTTGACAGGTGTGTTATGTATCCACTTGTTGCAAGCCCCCATGCCGTGTTGTTGCGTAATTGTACTTTTTTCTCATGCTCTCAATGAATGCACACTTGTCCAGGCCCATCTTCAACAGAGGATTCCTTAGAGAAGGACTCTTACCAGAGGCTGGTCCACAGCTACCTCGAAGAATTTCATGTGAGCATGTCACCGTATCTCTCAGCGACATCTGTGTTTTTCATTTCACTTGGTTGTGCATTGCAATCGTAACAATGAGAGTAGGGCCATGTTTCGCCGTCATTCACATAGAAATATTAGTAATTTAAAGTCTCTTAAGTAGAACTGCTGTTTCAATGGAAGAACTGCCTCTCATGTAATTAGTTTAGTAGTTGAATTCTGCACCTCTATTTACGGCTCTCTTAATGGAACTCCTGTGAAGCAGAACATGCCTTCCTGGTTTCTTCAGGTTCTGTGAAATTAGGAGCGCTGTGTAAGCATGAAGGGCCAGCGTAATGCTACCCTTCTGAGGCCAGGATTCAGAATCGTGAACGAATGAATGCATTCCCTGTATGATGTGTCTAGAAAATCTTCATGTCGTGCTATAGCCGTAAAACGAAATGCAAACAAAAGGTTTACTGTAGAACACGCAAAAAGTGCACTTTCTCAAGACTGCAATGTCACACCACTGCAGATCTCGTTGCTGATAATGAAGTGAACTCTCATTTAGTATGTGCATAAAAACAAAACCCTGCCAATGCAGCATGAACGTAAGGGGATGAAAACCAAAGCATACAGGCAAAAAGTGCGGTTTTGTATTAGTAAACCCACGGTGTAACAATCACATCTACTGAGGAAGTTATGGGCAGCTGCTGCAATAAGTTAGGCTATGTTGAGTTTGCTGCACCGGGCACAGGAACTCGTGTAAGTAAAGCGCATTCTCGAACTAATAGTAAGTTTGGAGAATTTTTTTATGGCTTGGATCACTGGCTCGGGCGAGTTCGACCAAGACGCAGCTCAGTGATGTTCGCTCGAGTAAAGCCTCAACCACAAGTACGTGCTGCAACGCGGCAGGGCGGTACGTGCTAATGGAGTGCACAGTTGCATTGCCAAGCTTGATTTTCAGGAAACACAGTGGACAGACACGACTAGAACACTCTCTTAAGCCTCAACCAGACGTATGCATTAGAATGTGTCATTGGTGGTGGTAGTGGGTAGAAGAAGAAGGGGCCTAATTACTGCAACCTGGTACAGGGAGCACAGCGCAGTGCCAATGGCAATAGACTCGGTGCGTCAGTCCATAGCAACGAAATTCAGTGCCGCATTTTCTTTTTATTAAGGGAGAGGGCGCGGCGCTGAGTACGGGTTACAACGAGAGTCTACTGTACTGCGTGCATCTGGTTGAGGCTTAAGAGAGCACTCCGGCTGCGTCTGTCACATTTCTACTGCGGCTGTGTCTCCTGAAAATCGAGCTTGGCAAGTGACTGTCATTCCCTGCAAGTTGGGGGAGAGATGCAAGGAGGCACCTGTATTCCCATTAATTAATAGGCCTCCTAATTTCGCAGAGTAACCAACTGGCTCCAAGGGCCAGGTTCATAAAATTCAGATGAGATGGTGATTGATCGGTTAGAGCTGGGGTATGTTTCAGCAGCCATCTCGTGTTACGATTTGTAGCCAAGCTTGCAAACATACTTGTAAGCACATCCTTGTATGTGATCCCTTCATTATTTTTGTTGTTAACGCATTGAATGTCTGCCCCATCGTTGATGATTTATTTTACATTTTCTTCTTTTTATTTTCATCTTTGCAGGAACCTCTGTCGGAGTGTCAGCTGTCAGACCTGCAGAAGAGAGTAGCCGATTGGGAAAGCAGAATCAGGCCTTTGCTTGATATTGAAGAGGTAGGGGCCAGGATTGCATCAGGCCACGATTGTCCTTTTTCCAGCAGTCGTATAGCTGCAGTCAATGTCCTATTTCTTGGGACTCCCTTGGGACTCTGATATCGTCCAGAAAATTATAAGTAGGCAAAAGAAATGGATTCATGTTTTTTTTTATTTCGATTGAACGGCCAGATCGTCATGGCCACATTCAAAACAGTTCTAATGCCATCTAGTTCACTTATCAGGCATCTTGCTGTGTGCCCAGGTTATTGTGAATACAGGAATTCCACTCTGGCGCCAACTTCGTCAAAGTGCACCGAATCAGATTTACTGTGCCACCCTGATAATATTAACGTAAATCGCACCAAGCTGCGCCAAAGTTGGGTTTGGGAGCGTCTGTCACTGGCAAAAGCCCTGCCCGCCTGTCAAAACATGTGCACCTTGTTCTCAGGGCCACCAAAGTCACAACCATGTATCTAGAATTATTCCGCTGAATAAAGAAGGGGCTATGTAATCCACGATGCTGTTTTTTTTTTACCAGTAGTTCTCAAAAATTGTTGATGACATGTTCTCTTTTTGTTAAATATAGGCAATCGGAATCGTCGGTTTGTATACCGTGACAAAAACTTCTTTGGTAGTTTCAAAACATGGGGCCTTAGAACACTTAACTCTGGACTACTGCAAAACGAAAAGAAATGAGATTCCTCAAAGAATGATTTATCAGCATGAATTGATCTAGTATCTCACATTAGTATTCCCATTTCATTCTCTATAAGCCTTCTTTCATTGCTCACAAAGCAACATGTTGCAAAGCTTGCCTGCTTCCTATGCACATAACTGTTTGCCTTAAAAGGGCCCTAAAGCAAATGTAAAGTGAACACGGGTTTTTCAAATAGCGTTTCAAAAACCTCATATCGTTTGTCTCATGCCAAAGGAAATGCTTCATTCGAAAGGAAGTCACATTTTAGTGGTCTGCATACGGTTAGAGCTCTTCAAACGTACCACTTGCAAGAACGGCCTCCTGATGTAGGCGTCCCCCCCCCCCCCCCCCCCCCTTTCACTGCCTAGCTGCTAGCGCTGTGGGCAATGGAGCAGGGCACTTTAGCAAAGCACAGCACAATAAAAACAAAACATGTTTAACGTGAAGTTCCTTTTTTGCATGAATCATACTGAAATGTACTGGTTGCATTTTATTCCGACTTGTAATTGACTGAAGTGTACTTTCTGTCAGAGGTTGCTTTGAGGGCTTCTGAATAATTCTTGTGAACCCTTTTCTGTGTCATTCATCGCGCTTGTGTTTCTGGATGTCCTACTGGTGGTGCAAATAGTGTTCCGTATTTACCATGACTTCTAACGCTTCTCAAAGCGCTGCTGTATATCAGACATTCTCAAGCATTGTACTTTCACTAGGTAAATTTTTGCCTTTAGCCTTCCTGCCTTTCTTTCTTCTGTCTTGCTCTTTTTCTCAGTGCATTCCACTCATTCCCTATGCTATTTTCACATCATTGTACACTATATCATAGTGACGAGTGCCCGGCATCTAGCATTGCTGTTTTTGTACCAGGCTGTTTTGAATCTTGCAATGTGCCTCATACGAGTCATGGCGGCTCTCTCTGATAGGAGCGGGAGAGCTTCAATATCCGCACCTACTGCAGCCGGGTGCTGGACCACTTCTCTGATGCACCGTCCAAGCAAACCCTCTACTTCCGCCAGATCTGCAGGGGCCGAGAGGTGTGGGAGGTGCCTCGGTTTTTTGCTTCCACGCTACAACTGGTGAGATGCTCTCTTGCATGTTCTCTCATAAGAATCATTCAGCAATGTATGTTACTTGTGTGTGCGTGTGTGTGGGGTTAGGTGCAGTTAGAGTATTGCTTAGTTCATAGACCTGCCAATGCATTTAATAGGGCTCTTTGATGGCCTAGTTGGTGCATACCACAAAGTGTGTTGTGTTTTTTCTTGTGCAGACTAATCTTTTGTCCGCCAAGAAATATTTGTGTGTGCATGTAAGTGAGTGGGAAAGATAGAGAAAGCGAGATCTCAGCACTGATGTCTAACACACTGTGTTTTCTGTGAATATTATCAAGGAAGTGCAACTTAAGGTATTTCAGTAATCTAGGCATGATAGGTAGTGCTGCGGTGTACAAGGATGTAGGATTGATTCATTCCTGCGATCTGTGATAGCATTTCGATAGGGATAAAATTCTAATGTGCCTATATCCTTAAATTTGTGCGTAATATGACTCCAGAAGGTGAAATTAATCCTTTATTCCCCACTGTGACACGCTGCTTAAATGGATTTTGCTTTCATTGTATAAAGCCCAGAATCTTTGTGACTAGCTGGCGATTGCGATATCATTAGTTGCAAACATTTCCAGTGAGCTGGCCGGCAAATTGTGGTGGTGGCCTGCACTGCAATGCAACCATAACATTTAATTCCTGCGTACTACAGATTGGAATATAATCGCTTTTTGTGCTCAACAGCTTTCTTGGTGTTTGTGTGGGCATCAAATGCCTCTTGCTGAAGGAAAACGAAACTTGTGCGCACCACAACGGCCACAGATGAACTGTCTTTGCAACCACTGCATCCACCGCTTGGTTCTTATGGCATGCCGCCAGTGCGGTGCTATGCCTGGTGCTGGATGCTGTGAAAATGCACGAAGCATTTCTATCATCCCTATTCGGTTCCTGCTGACAACCGTAGATGTGATCAGCTGCTTCATTTTGGTTAGACGCTAGTATCGTCCATGCTGGGTTTGATCTTTTGTGTCATCCTATTTTGTGGCACTCTGTGCTTGGCATGCTTCAGAGCTGGTTCATGGCCAGATCGATCCAAATTAACAAGTTTGATGTCATCAGATAATGCATACATGTCGAGATCACGAAGGCTGGTTTAGATTGGCTAATTTTCCTATTTAACTGGGCTGGCCTATTGAAATATCGTTTGCACGTTCAGCTGTGTTGGCACGCAGCATCAAATGATCTGATAAAACTATTGTTGGATACAACTTATGAAGGCAAGAGTGACGCCGTGCAGATGACCAAAGCATGGCAGCTGATTGACTATGTCACTAAAGAAATGGTCCTGCCGACTCTCGGCAGTGCTCTGTGACAGCAAGTCCACTGACTGTTTGGCTAACGACATTAGTCCTGAGCACACGTTCATTGATGCAGCTTTCGTGCACATACCATTGAGGTTAATAAGCCGCTGCTTTTCAGAGCTTTAGCCGACTGTAGTAAAAGTGAAAGCTTTGTGAAAGTGAATGTGCCAAAGCTTCTTGTCGCTGCCTAACGTGACTGGTGCGCTTTTGTTGATGCTGTTGCTTGCAGGCCAACAACTACAATGTGGAGCTTGGCACACATGGCGTGATGGAGGAAGGCATGGACACGCTGCACCTCACGTTGCTGTCGCGGAAGCAGCACTTCCACGAGCTCGAAGAGTTCGGCGACAACCAAGTCAGCTATACGAACTCTTCTGAGCCAGCAAGGAAAGGAAAGCAGGTAGCTAATATTGATTGGGTATTACTATTTTGTAGACAAAGATATAAAGGAAATCGGCAAGTATTTTCTGAAAAGAAAGCTGCCCAGTTGACAACAACAACAACAAAAGTCTTGAGCTAACCACAGTCATCATCAGCTTGACTGTGCCAACTGCCAGGTAAAGACCTCTCCAACTAACCTGGTCTTGTGCTGCCTGTGGCCAGATTATCACTGCAAGCTTATCTGCCTCCTAACTTTTTGTCTCCCACTTGCCAGCTTGCCTTCTCTTGGGATCCTGTCAGTTACGACTTTAAAGACCAGCAATGATCTTGCCTTCGAGTGAGATGCCGTGCGAACATGCCCACTTCTTGCATTCTACTAAGATGTTCTTAACACAAGTTTGTTGCCTAACCCAATATGCTCAGGTTTGTTTAGAGCTAGTCAGGAGGCTAGCAAGTCACAGTGTGAGAGCGGATTGACTGACACTAGATCATTCGAAGCTTCTCGTAGGCTATCTTTGAGAAACGTTGCGAGCTGCAGAAACTTCTGCCATTTCCTTGAATGTCCTGGTCTCATTGCGTCATTGTGTGAATTGTCCGAGCTGCTGAGTAGCAGTGTGCAGATACAAGCTCGCATTATTTCTTGATTATTAGTATTTTGAATGAAATGAGTATCGGACAAACTTTGCTTAAAGTGAAGCTGAAGCACTTTTCTGAAAAAATGACTCGGGCGCGTGTAAGAACAGTTTGATCCCGGCTGAATTTGAAAAGCGATGTGAGAGTTATCAAAAGTGAATGCCAATAGCATTTTCTGGTGGAAAAAAGTGGCTGTGGCCACCGGGCTTCTTGAGACGCCGAGCGAACATGGTGACATCATTCTCGGCATGCCACATTATCTGCAAGAGCAGCACTGCTGAAATGTGGCCTCTTCAATTAGTTCTGGCAACGGCACGCCATGGGTTAGTTGCGGAGGTCATGGTTGAAGATAAGAAAGAACACTTGCTCCGAGCCAGAGGAAACGAAGATGACGTGTTTCTCCGCCCACACTTTCAGCGCGCTCGCGGGTGCGGAGCAAGACAAGCTTTTATTTCGCCTGTTCTAAAGCTCCTGCTGCTACAACCGCGAAAAAAATTATAACATCATCAACAATGTCAGTCTTTCCTAAACACGAAGTTTGATTGAATTTAAAATCCTTTAAGGTAGAGCACGTCAGGCAAAAGTAATTCCCTTGCTTGGCTTCGAATTGCTTCTTGTTATATACTATTGTGCTTCAATTATCGCTTGACCAGTGAATAATATTTCTCTTTATTGCGACTTCATTTTTACAGCGCAAGCGGCCAGCCGCCGTCTTGCAACCTGAGGACCCCAGTGATGTGTTGCGCGAGAATCCCGTGGTTCCCGATCCAGACTTTTGTTCGGATCCGCGGCTTCCCCCGAACAGGCGGACAAATGCACGCGCAAAGGCGCGAATGCAAGCCGTAGCTGCGATGTCATCACTCATGGACGACTCTTCTGAAAGTGAAAACGAAGAGAACATGGCGGCTGCCCTTTGTGTAACCTAACAGACTCCTTCCTCGGTGACGGTCTCTGTGTACGTGTGGTTGTATGTGTGCGTGTTTGTGTGCATGTGTACGCCATTTGCCATAGTCTTCTCGCCTTGCCACTCTTCTGCTGCGGGGAACGAACGCCACAAAGAAGAGAAGAAAACATGGCAGCGCTGCAAGTTTCCCCGTTCTCCTCGGAAATGCTGTTGAACAACATCAAAGACTGCACTGAAAGAAAGGATGCTGAGAGTTCCAGTACTTTCATTTCACTTCGGTCTTTCCAGTTTCTTTTATTTATTTAACCGATGACTGGTCTTTCTTAGTCCTTCCATTCTAAATTTACAGATTTCATTTACTTTACATTGACATTGTACTGCCGCATGAAATGTTGGCATTGGACCACAGCAAAGTTTGTGCTGTGTCGAGCTCAGGTAGGAAAGCTGCATCGCATACCAGACCCATAAACCTTCACTTGTGCATGCCTGTTTAAGGCATGCTCGCAGCGTGAACTGGTGACCATAGATAATCTGGACAACTATGATCTTCTTTCGGGGAGCCGTCCTGCTTTTTCCACAAGCTAGGTTCGGTCATGGAGGCATAAGTTGAAAGGCTTATCTGTCGCACCAGGCGAGTACACGTTACGTTCTCTCTCCAGGGCACGGTGCATTCCATCCTCTGTTCCCATTCTTGCTTTGTGGGCTTTGTTAAATGTGCATTTAAGGTAGGTAGTGCTACACATTTTAGCTCTGTTTATCATTTAGTTTCTGATACCAATTCTTTTAATTCAGTTTGACATTGTGTACATAAACAAGTATTTTAACTGTACCGCCAAACCGGCTTTGAGGTCAGTGTAATGTTTTAACTCTACGATACTAATGTAAAATCTGGTTGCACTTTTATTTGTCCTGTTTCTTTTACTTTGCGACACTTTGAGCCTGCTGTTAAGGTCAGCATTTCAAAATAAAGTAAAGCAAGCAGCTGTGCTAAAAACGAGGCTAAGTGAGGCTTCACTGAAATTATAGTTTCTTTTATTTATGGCAGTGGCTTTATGCTCCTGTAATTGAGGTCGCGGGTTCGATTCCTGGCACTTGCAGTGAATTTTCAGGAGTCGGAATGCGAAACTCCTTTGTTTCTGGTGCGATTTCAAGAAACTAGCCCTAGTTAAAGTTAACTGTAAACCCTGCCTGTCTTGTCTGCGTTTCACTTGGCGACACTGGTAAAAAAATGTTTTCAAAGAGGCTAATATACTTAATTGTGAATTTCTCTTTAAAGTCGCTGATTCTCTCAAAGGTAGCTCGCCTTAGGCTTCAGTATAAGCCAACTTTGCAAACTGGCTGGGGCATCACAGTTATTTACGACTCAGTGAAGGAGTCTGTGCAACTCCCTATCGACTGGTCTGCCACGGTCTGTTTTTTAAATGGCCACTACCTGAAAGCAGGAGTACTTGGAAAACGACCAATCATTGGTGCAACTACACAAGGGGAAAAAAACTGCTTTTATGCAAAATAAAAGCGCATGCTCAAATTTTATCTTTCCTACGTGGCGTTTAGCAAAAGTGAGGCTGGGATCACTCAACAGTTCCCCTCAGTTCTATTCCGCTCTTTTCCCTGCCGTTCGAGTCACCTGCTTCAGCAACGAAGTGCGAAAACGGATTGGAAAATTTGTGATATCCGAACACGAGTTGGCTTTACTACAATTGGAGCTATGAGCATTGCATTGTCATTTCTGGTAAGGTCAGACTGACTCATGCGAGCTGTCGCGAGGCTGCATTGTGGAGCCAGAGACATATGCTATCTTTTTTCTCTCTGTTTTTATTGCCAGTCATCACACACACATCACTGTCTCACTTTTTCATCTCATCCAAACTGCTTACATTTGGACTGAGCGTGCAGCCGTCATTTCTACATTTTTTTGTGCTTGGAAGCGCGTTTACCGGGACTGCGTCGCACCTTCGATTTCAGCTGTTTATGTTCGCGCGTCTCCCAAGCTCCTTTCAGTGCACGGGAATTTCACGTGGTGCCCTTCCTGCTTGACTGGTGCACCTTTTAGGGTCGGCGTGCTGCCGAACCTCTTGAGCATAGCTGCGACAGACTCGTCTGGAAGTCAACTCTTCATTGGTGTGTGATTGAGTGCATGATCTCCAACTTCTTATACCCAACAGTGCAGAGATAGTGAGAATGCTTGTCGGACTTTAGCATTCCAAGCACCTCGTGTCTGACATCATGGCTGTATGTTCCAAAGTGTCGTTTTCTGCTCGTCAGAAGATTTGCAGCTTAAGCGAATCGACTTCCATGCACATTAAGTGTTTGCTCAGAGCAGCAGTGGTGTTGGTCTGACTGACTGATCTGTTCAAAATAACCTAACGAGTATATGTTCATCACAAAAATGGCATGTAGCAGGGGAAATCCCGATTTCCTTGTTTGTCATTAACTGGGTGCATGAAGGTGTTATTGAAGGAATGGACGGATGCAGCCATAGGGGATAAACTGTCTGTACTTTTGCCGTTTACACATACTACTGTCATGTGCGCAAGTGTGCAACAAGCAACTGTCTCGGACAGCAACTGGACTCAAGTGTGAGAAGAGGAATGCAGTACGACAGCTTTTAGCACCTCTGAAACTTCAAAATATTGCGAGGGACATATTTCAGTTGTATATATGTCGTGTGCTATCTTTGAATGTTCACTTTTCCTGCCACGAAAACTATTGCGCCGATGCTTTAGACACCCCCGACAAGTTTTAAAAGCAGTCTGCATTTTCGAGGAAGAACTTTAGTGATGGCTAAGCAGATGCTGAATATTAAGGATGTGAGCTCACACGAAAGGAAGACTGCAGTGCCTTACCGATTCAGATGCGACAGGAAAAGGAAAGAAAGAAAAAAAAATGCCACTGATCATCATTGCAGTCTGGTTCTTTTCTCAATCATGCTTCTTTGTATGGTCCTTATTGCAGATCATTATTTAGTTATCGCTGAACATGTGTATGTAATGTGCTTTGCATAGCATCAGCATTGTTATTGTACATCTTATTTTATTATATTTTGTCTCCTTGTTTACAAACATCAATAAGGAAGTCTCGTTGCAATGCTTCGAAATAATAAATCTCCCTAGCGTAGCCCCTTGCTTTAGTTTCCTAGGCCCTTGTTAGCGCAGCTGGGCAGTTTAAAGGGACAACTAAACAGAAACACGGTTTTTTGCGTATTAGCGAATTCGTATTTCATTTTAGCATTCTGCAACAAAAGCACAGTTCATGCTGACACTTTTAATGGTTTCGCCACTTGCAATTTTTTTTGCACGTTTCCTTGTTTACCAAAGAAAGAAGGAAATTGCTCACCTAGTGTAACCAAAGCACAGTTCATGCTGTCCAAGCATGAACTGTGCTTTGGTTACACTAGGTGAGCAATTTCCTTCTTTCTTTGGTAAACAAGGAAACGTGTGCAAAAAAAATTGCAAATGGCGAAACCATTATAAAGTGTCTGTACTTTGATGGATCTACTAGGGCCTAGATAGTTTTTAATCGGGAAGTGTGTTGTCTTCCGATAAGGCCATAGTTAACCTAGGAAGGTTCAAGAGATTTTGGTTAGCCAATGTGACCAAAATACACAAAAGGCCTAAAATCTGATGTTGCGTTGATGCTCATGTGCAGAGATTTCTTTGCAAAATCGAAATTTCATATTTTTTTATGCTGTTGACAAAGCTATGGTGAAGAAATTTATGACTGTAGAGAATAATTAACAGGTTTAAATTGTTTCACTTCTGTGTCCCTTTAATGTGTTCATTGGCTAATGCGATCAGCATCTGTGTTTTAGCTGGTGTTGAGGCTTAACCAGATGTATTGTGCTGCAGCTTGAGGACTGCTGCTCAAGTTAGGTCTGGAAGGCTCAGCGGTGTACATATTGTTGCTAACCAGCTTGTTTACCGTTTGATCTTTTACCAGAGTTGCTTTTCGTTCTCTGTAGGCTGTGCTGTTGTATAGCTTGCAGGAGGAGAAATTGTGGTGAAGGCAACTGTACTTCTGGGACACTTAAGTACATATATATACTTTTCTGTACAGCCAACCACATTTTTATTTATGTAGAGCCATTGTAAATAGTGTACAGTATGACCAAAGCACTCGCAAAAGCACCATAACAGTAGCTGCCAAATGACGAGTGTGGCATGCTTCATTTTATTATTTTTTTGCTCCTGGAACCTTTGTAATATATGTATGTTCATATTTGGGAAAAGCTCACCATTTTCATACCAGTGTGATTCATTCAATTGTATCTCATGCCCAACATTTTGTTGACACTGAAACCTTTTGTTTGTATCCCATTTTGATGAACAATTGGTACACTACTCGAGCGAGGAGAAAACAAAAAAACCAATTGGTGGCAATGATCTTGAGTACATTAAATGCATATTGGACTGGTTTTCCGTCTATTCCTCTCAATGCCGATGAGTGCTTGCATGTTGGAAAATATATGCATGCATGGAATGACCTTACATGTAAGACGCTTTAAAGAGATCAAAGTACAATGTCGTGCTTTACAAAAGCTTGCAGCTTTCTGGCATTAGTCAGTGTTTGGACTTTAGCGTGCATTTGCTTGTTCACCATACTTGTTGAGCTGCAAGTGACACAAGCTGCAAGTGCTTGAGCTTGTGTCAAGCAGTCTTTTACATTCGGACCACCATTACAATGACCAGAGGTCATAATAGTGACTATAGGTCACCCTATTAGTGATCTCTTGTCACATTTCTGACTAGTACATTTGAACACAGGGGTGCAAAAGACAAATGTTTGCAAAATGTGAATGCCCTGTAAGAACGTCCGGCACCAGTTGGCACATCTGATTAAAGCTTGCTAAGAGACAGGAAAATATGCACCCTGCTCCTATCGGGCAATGACACAGTGAAATCTTGCATCATAATGGAAGGCTGCATCGTTAAAGCTTTTTCTTTGTGTGTCACTCATGAGGTAGTCCAATGGCAATTATGTTGATAAGTGCATGCCCCGAGGTCAGGATAAAAGCAGTGGAGCAATTTAGCAATAAGACAGACCTAGTGAATGCAACGACAGCATTCCTCTGATGCACGAGCAAGACTAGTTATAAACTACACGGCTTTAAGAATGCCTTCTGCGTTATTGCAATGAAGTCTTATCTGAACCAGCAGTGAGCCTGGAAATTCTCAAAAAGAAGCTTTTTCAACACTGTTTACATGGCTACAACAATTTCAAAAGCACACCAGTTGGTCCCATAAGCAAACACCGCTGTGCAATATGGACTGAATATATGTGTCACACCAAAACACTGTAAATGAAAGTTACAAGAACATGCCACATGACAAGCATGCCACAGTACCATGCAAACTAAAACAGATGCCCAGTTCTCCAAGTGGACTGATGTGCAATGCAACAAAATTGCATGAAACTGGTGTCGGGGCATGCCCTTGTAGATTGTACAGGACTTTCATCTGTGCTAGTGAAGATTGGGCCATAGCTTCGAACAACATTGCAAAATTTTTTTGTAAGGCACACAATGGTCAATGCGGGCTTCCGGACAAGTGTATCAAATATTAAAAATGCTGCGAGAGTGCAAAACAATTTTGTCAAGACATCTTGCACCTAATGTCCTTCAACTTTTAAAAATAAGATTGCCAACTCTAAGCATGCAACAAATATGCCAGCACAAGGCAATACACGCTGCTGGGAATTGCAGGCGGGCGCTTTCATATGACCCGTACATGGCGCAAATGCCAACTCTTGATTCACCCGTCTGTGCCCGCTCTTGAATTCCTTTTCTTCACTTCCGAGAATCGCGTCGTGTCAGGCCGCATGCTGGCAAATGTGTCGCCCACGTTATGGCAAATTAGTATCGCGAGGTATACATGGACAAAAGTGCTGCCGCCTTCTCGAAGGCAAACTGTTCACACCGCGACTGTCCTCGTGCGCCACAAAGGTGTCGCGCTCTTTCACTCGTCCTTGGACTTGTCCTTGGGGGCGACCACCTTGCGGGCCAGGTTAGTTCCGGTACCCAAGACGCTGGCTCCAGTTCCCAGGACAGTGGCTCCCACGTTGTATGTCGTCGATGCCACCCACTTGGCGCCTCCGGCACCGACGTTGTAGACTCCAGAGGCTATGCCCTGAACCCAGCCGCTCGGAGCCGCGTTCGAAGCGATGCCCGTCGACGGCTTTTCTGCGTAACAAGCGAGCGAAGTAACAGCTATGTAACAGCTTTCAACGCGAGCAGCTGCCGTGTTTCCGCAAGTACGGTCGGACCGCACCGCACACATGTATATTGTATGTCGAACCAGAGAACAGCTACAACTAGCAGCGTAGTTAGACCACCCACAGAACAATGGCCTAATTAAAAAAAAAGGTACACCTAAAACACTCTTGAAAACGTTTACCCCAATCAATAAACGATGAAATAGGGCGCGCATTACGCGACGTTTTACGGCTGCACCTTTTCAGACAAACTACCGTTAACGTGATGTCTGGTCAACCTTAATCACCACAAGTCCTGACGGCCGTTATTTGCTAACGCGTATTAATTGAGATAAACAACGAGCTATATGTAATGCACGGGCGCCAGTGGGGGCCCTTAATGGCCGGTAATTCGATCCGTACTCAAAACTGGCGCGATAGTCCGTAAAGCTCTGTTTATTCTACATCATCCGCATGCCGACTTACTTTCGTCGTCCTTTGCCTTCTGCTCGGCGGCATCCTCACGCCCAGCGTGCTGCACGGAAGTATAACGTTTGTCGGAATCACTCACTGAACTACAATGCGGTTGTCAACGAGCTAAAGCGCACGATTTTCCCTCGACAGAAAAGAAGCCTAGAAGAGAAAATTCGTTACGTTACCTTCTTTAGGCAAGCGGTGATCGGGTTGTACAGGTTTGACATCGCCACACGCCGCTCTTCCGCGCCGGGAGGTTATCGCACCCTGGCAAATCAGACGCGTAAACAAGTTCCGCGCTGCCCGGCTTGTTTTTCTAGCTGCTCCCTCGGGCGCCGAGGACTCTCGTAGCCCGCTGGGTTTCAAGTCTCGCACGGACAGTCACAGCTTTCCGTTCGCTTCGGCCACGGATATCCACGGCAAGTGCGCGACGGGGCAGGGCAAAAAATCGTACGCGTCAACGTTCACAATGCCACGCGAAACGTCACATAATCGGAGCTGCGCCTTGGAAAACGATAACGCCGCAGCCGCTTCGCCTTTTGCACGAACTACTGTGTTCACCGCCTGCTGCTGTCGGAGAATGTAGCGCGCAGCATCTGCGTCGGATCCGTGGCTCCAACTCAGCTGGCCGTGACGCAAGCAGCAGTTACGAAGCGTTTTGCGCCGTCCGTATCATACAATGGGTATAGTGAAGCGTTTTGTTTAATATGTGGCTCGTAGGATGATGCATCGCAGTGCACTGTAGTTGAACCGAAGATTGCGCATCGAACTTGGGAAGATATTTCTCGGACGAACAACAGACATCTCGGCATCTTCCTCTTATCGCTCTCTTTCTCTCGAATCTCGCCCTTCCCGCATGTTCGCGGTAGGCAACACTGGGTGCCGCTAACGGCGCATGCGCGGTGTTCTCAGGCGCGCTTTCTGCGTGGCGTTTCTCTGTCGCGCGAATTTTGTCGCGTGCTCGATGACATCGCCAGCATTTGAAAAGTTCTTCAACGCAGTTCCAGCGCTTTAATGTTATCAGGGTCTACAGTTCCTTTATGCTGCGCACACATCTTCACCGAAATGAACAATTGTGTGCGCTCTGAAAAATCGGATGACGCGTTCAGTAAAGCAGAGGGTGATCGCATGCCGCTACTAGTTGGGGGAGTCGGGGGGTGAAAAACCTTTCCGAAATTTCGCCGTAGAGTTCCACCACGTCGTCAATTTAAGTAAGACGCTATTCAAAGAAGAAACAAAAAAAAAACGAGAGGAAAATTTCCAGCTTCGAGGCAAGTTGTGTGTGCGATGAATGGATCCGCTCCTTTCTGTGTCAGTAATCAGTGTAGCGTACAGCCTTCTTTCCTCGTGGGTTTTCGCTTCTAGGTGTGCGTTCGGGAAGCCAGGTGGGGTGCTATATATAAAGAAGAATAACTGGGTTTCGAGTATGTCCGCCTGTTCTCTCTCCCCACTCTCGCTTCTCCTCTCCACGCCGCCTTCTCGTAACGGACGAGAGAGGAGGAGGCCCGATGGAAGACGCGAGGGGGAAAGAAAAACCTAACGGGAAAGCCGCCGGGCAAGTTCAAAGATCCGCGCTGTTCTAGTTTCGGCGGAGCTACTGCGGCTGGTCTCCTGGCTCTCTCGCGCGCGTGAATATCCCAAGGGAGCCAGCCCAGCGCGAAAAAAACAGCCCGTGGCTTTTGGACTGGCCGCCGTCCGTCGACGTACCAATACGTCGCTGCTGCTCAGGGCCGGGATCCATCTCTATGCAAAGTGAAGTGCTTTTGTGTCCACCACCGGCGGCTAGTGCTTGAACAGCTCTGCCCTCTCTCCCTTCTCCTTTTTGGATTAGTTGTTTTGGATCTTCGCCGAGCAGGAGTCAACAGGTGAGTCTTCCTCTGATTATGTACCCTCTGTTTTATTTCACACATACTTTTCGGCAGCGGGCGTAGCTGAGTCTTCTTTCTCCGATAAAAAAGCCGACATGGAGAGCACAATTTCTTCTTTTTCCTATTATTATTATTATTATTATTATTATTATTATTATTATTATTATTATTATTATTATTATTATTACTTGCAAGCTAAGGCTAGTTCGTACGCGTCGATGCCCTCGAAACGTACTTACAATGTGCCGTTGGGATGCGGTATGCATGTTGAACTCGGCTGACGGCGATACTCTTCAAATCGCGACGTGTTTTACGGTTAAGTTACTCACGTACGGTGAAACGTGAGATTGGGCTTTCTTTGTACAAAATGTGCTGCAGATGTGAGCAAAAATGTGCATACATATATAACTTTTCTTCTCTCTCTCTCTCTTCTCTCTCTTTCAAACAGAAATTTTGAAAGGATCTGTTAGTTAGGTACCTTATAGCAATTGCCATCATTACTTTCTCTTTAGAAGAACTGGCTGCAAATCAACACCTTTCTGTGTGCCTTGGGCTCTTTACTATAAATCGAAATGAATAAGTAACCTCTGCAATGTAAAAAAAAATATGTAAAACAACAAGTGCTGTCATCCTAGTTCACTGTCGTACATATACTTTTAAATTTCGAAAGCCTGGCCCTGGGCACTGCACTATGGCACGTCATAGATACACATACATATTTGTTCCTTGTAAGAAACCTAAGAGCGACTGTTGGAACGGCCAATGCGCCCAGCGATCGTACTTCTCAACCAGCGCCATCATATTCGTATTTTTCCTCCCACGGCTGTCTTGTTTCTTTTTACCCACAATGCGAGAAAAGCTGCGCGTGGCGTGTGCTCAGTAAAAATTCCTCCTTCCCGCTTCTCGGTCCTCGATTTCACTAGCACTGTTGCATCTTTGTGCGAAAAACTGCAACGCTCTTGGGGAGAAAGAAGGGAGAGGGAAGGCTCTGGAAGGAAAGATGACTTCGTGCGCGCTGGTCGTGCGGCGCCACTTGTTCTTTCCTTCGGCGCTTTCCTTTTGTTGTGTGTCTTTTCTAGCTCCTCTCCTCGTCGCGGAAGTCGTTCGCAATCTAGGTGCGGCAATCTAGGCGTCCCGCGCACGCAATAACGAACTTTCGATCGCGAAGCTAACAGGTGTGGTTACTCCGGATATGACTGCGATTTCGCAATCTTGCTTCTTGTTGGTTGCCTAGTCACGCAATGTGTACAAGTACACGAATATTTGAGCTCAGCGGGCGTGGTTACCAGCTAAAAGCTTGGTAACCTCGTGTTCGAGAGTGCACAAAATAATTGGTCAAATAAGGTGCAGCAGAACAATATGTAACATAGTGTGCTTTATACAGTGCGCATATAAATTATCAGAAAAAAAAATGCTATAGGATGAATCAAATTACGGCGTGTACAATAATAGCAGCTAGAGCGCATCAATTACTGCAGAAGCGTGAACCATTGTAGTATTTGGTCGGACATTTCTGGTAGGAAGAGCGGAAAACTTTTTCGACGGATAACTCTGCGGTCGAAAGGAACACAGGATTTGTGGGGAATGTGCTCAACTTGCGACTGAGTTTGTAAGGAACGACCAATCCCCTAGAAAACAAGTGCGCACGTGCAAGAACTATTCCACCTCTCATAAAACCGCGCGAAGTAAAAAAAAGGCAAAACATAAAGTAATAAAAAATATTGGCCGCGTATCTGCGCGCTTCGCTGCAAATGACGTCGAAAGACAATAGTCTTCTGCCGGCCTTCTTATTTGCATAGCGTCGCATTTTCAGCGCGGCCTAAGAAACACTATAGGATCTTTATACTTACGTGTCTTTATATTCTCTTGTGAAGGAACACACAGCCTAATATTTACGTATTGATGTTGAGTCTGAGATATGCGTAATATTTGTGTTTGCATCGACTATGTTCACGAGTATGAACGAAGCCGCCAGTTCAAGATGGCTGGGCGTTGTGCAAGTGGTTAACTTAGGCCAGTTGGCTGAATCGTGTTACAGACAGACACTGCACAATAAGTCATAATATTTTTTATGTTGTTGGTGGACATCCACTATGTCATTCCTCGGAGAAGCGCGGCACATGCTGGAAACTTTTAAGGAATTATGTGCTTTTTGCTGGTGCCGTGTCTGACAAGGATGAATTATGCCTGTTGCCTTTGTGATAGGTTTTAACACTCAACGGCCCACTAGTTATACGCATTTCGCATTGCGTGAAACCTGTCAGTTTGTTTGCTGTTCTGAAACGCTTTATTGCTCATGTTAAAGGGTCCCTGAAACAATTTTTTCACATTCCGTTTTTGAATATACCACTACTGGAGCAAATGATTGGCGCCTGAGTTCAATCGAAACACCCCTACGAGTACTATATAAGCACGCTCCTCCTCCGCTCCACCATTCACCCTCAACTGCCATCAAGTCTTCCTTCGAGCGCTGGGGCTAAGCTCCGCCTTCATGGTGCCTGCGTCACGATGAGGCGTCAGACCGCACACGCGTAAATCTAGCCGTTTATCCGATACCAGCAAGCGTGTAGATAGCATGTGGCCGAAAAGTGCGAAATCCCGATTGGCTCAACGTTTAGTGCTCACATTTTACGCCTTCGAGATGAAATTTAATGAGCGACGAGAAGGACACGGCCTTTGTGGGACGGCAGGTGAGAAGTAAACTACTGTCTCCACATTCCACGCGTTGCGCTTAGCGGCCCTTTAAGGAAAATAAAAATCCGCTATTGCCACCAATTTTCGAGGTTGCAGGTGACTGTCGTAATCAAGGAGGAATGGTGGGGGCGAGTGTATACCAATGATGTAGTGTAACTTCCTTAGTTATAAGCCCCGAATGAACGCTTCCTGCGTCCCCTTTTTCTCGATGACGCACCATTTTCCGAGACCTGCGTTACTGCCCTGCTATACACCTTTTCACAGGAAAGAAAAAAAAACAGCGCCATGATGGGCTGTGCGCGAGATTACAAAGGCTAACCCCCGTATTCTAGAATGCCCCTTCACTCAACGCTCCACCTTCTCTTGAGAAAGCTGATGGAGCGACAGCTTTAGGCAGGAAAGTCACTGCATATAAGATAATTTGCTGCTATTCTCGAGTAGCGCAGCGTAATTTTCAGCCGAGTGGTGGCGCAGTGCTCAACTCTGTCAAGTGAAGGGTGGAAGTCGAGTCGAGGAGCGTTTGTGAATACGGGGGTAAGGGCGCAGCGTTTCCAGTGCATTTTCGAGGGGGCGCGCCAATTCGCACAGCCCAAGGAGGGCTATGGCGGCGCCCAGGGAGGCGTTTATGAAAAGGTGAATAGATTTCCGGCAGTGACCTCTGTGTCACGCGAATACTAGACTGCATGGTTCGACGTAATACGTGCGTTTGACAACTGCTAGGGTGCCTGAATGGTTTCCCTCGCCCGCCGCTCCGTACAGGGTGGGGACAACCGCGTCGTCTGCTAGAGCGTCCGCCATTACATATCTCACCCCAACGAAACACACTGCCTGCGCGCGCGTATGAGGAGAGTTTGAGAAGAGTTTAGTGCGAGAAATGGTATTTCGCGCTATAAAAAAGCAGTCTGAATATGTGCGTCTGTCATTGGAGACTGTTTGCAGGATAAATCTACATTAATTCATGAAGCGCACGCCTTTTCCTGTTACCTAAACTCACCGCACTCCTCAGTGGCTGTGCAGCGTGCCAGCCACTCAGTAGTGCTCGCATTGTACGCGTTGAACTTACTTCATCCTGCTTTTTCCCCCGCCTTGCGTGCCCTCGCAGCTCTGAATAATCTTGCGGGAATGAGATTCAGATTTGTTACACAGCTATTTTTCTGTTATAGCTGGTTGAGATAGTGAAACAGCGTAAACATCAATTGAATCTCTCGTTTTTATGTGACCACTGAGAAAAAAATCTTACTAAGTTATTGGAAAATACAAGATGAA